GTGAGAATCTTTGTCGTAATCCTTTTGATTTGTCAACAATAATATTTATGTTCCATTGCAATTTGGGTTAACTCTGATATAAAACATTTAATAGTATGTACGGTTTAACAATTTAGTCTATATTTGTGTTGAGCAAGGCACTCCCAACAATTGTCTAGCATGTTAAATTGAGTTTAGTGTGTTTTATTCCAAAACAGAGTCGAATAGCTATGCACCCCATATGGCAGCAACACACGTTGACACAAGTAAGAAACATATCTGTTAATATTAGTTTAGATTGTAAGATTAATGAGTGTTTCTATGCAAGTTAATTGACAAGGGCCTGAATATGAACCGGCCATGACCTATAGCCAATTAGACCGCTCATTGTGGGGAAGGGAGACTTGAATGACCAATTAGGGGTAGAGTTGCCGTCCAATAGAAGTGGGTCACTCCTTTGCGCCTGATAGTATTTATACGGGTTTAGTGTATTATAAGGCTAGTTTTTTCTTTGAGATTTCAGACAGGACAAGTTTCGACGTCAAGTTTTCCCCTCCTAGGGTTGTATCTGATAGCGAGAAAGTGTTCGATTGTAACTCGTCCCTAGGTGGTGTGTATCCTTTCATCTTCTACTTGTTGACACCCTTCCAGCCCCTCTACTATATGTTGCCGACGCTTCTAGTCCACCTGTTGCTTCCTGCCGCCCTTATAGTCCACCTATTGCTTGTTGTCACCCTTCCAATCCGCCTGTTGCTTGTTGCCGCCTCATCCCTTCTTGTTGTCGCCCCCCTTCCAACTTCTCTTGCTGTCTAGCCGTTGGACAGCCCTACAGCCATACTCCCATTTTTGCCAACACCTTCACATCTCCCTTCCAGCTTCCCCGCAGATATCCAGCTGCAGATTAGCTTTCCTCTAGCTGCCTCTAGGTTACCCTACCACCTATAACTCTTAATTTCCACCACCTCGAACCGCAGCCCGCCACCTTTGAACCTCACCCCTTCAAGCCACTTTCAAGTTTCAACATCCCTCTTCCAGCCATTCTGATCATCTCCAATGTACAAACATTTTTGCTCTTACCTCTCACTCCTTTGCTAGTGTGGTTGGTGTGAGCGCTAATGCAAGCCTCACTATTCTTTCATCAAGCAAAAGATTCACATGAACAGAAGTAAGCAATTTTTCAATACCAACATGTACTTATTCTCACTGACATTGAGATCTCTAAACTTTTTAAACTATTCACTATCACCACAGTTGAAAAATTTTTTGCTCGTCCCAACATGGATATCATTAAAAAATTCATGTCAAATTTTATGTAACTTGCATTGTTGCAGATTGTAGCAAGCTCATTATCGTCATGCATACTGCATTAAAGTCTTTCCAAATGCTCAGTGGTCTCCCTATTTGATGCTTGCAAGGAACTACCTACCATCCCTTTTTGGTCTTTTCCCAAGTTACATTTATTATTTCCTTCAAACAATCTATCTTATATTCATCAGGATCTATTTTGAGCATATGTAAACAAATCAATGTTGCTACTGCTCGTCGTTCTAGGCCAAAGGTTCCAAATTTTGTAGCTTAATTGGATGTTCCCTCTCATAATTATAAAGATGTGTGGATTGGAAGAAGTTTGGCTTTGAGGTCATCCCCAATATTCCTCTCTGTGAGATTGTTGGTCATGTTCTCTCGAAGTTCTTCAAGGTCCATCGTGCTTTAAGAAAACTATTTATTCAGGATAGGAAGTTCACTCAAATAGTCATAACAACCCTTCTCCTTCAACAATTATCGCTCCTTCATTAGTGAAATATTTTTTTTTCAAAATCCGGGGCAAATTTATACTTTGAACGCTGCATGTGTGCACCTTTACCATTCAATATCAACATCTCTAAATATCATTAGCTAGAAGATGTTCCCTGTCCTGATTCTGACACCTCATCATAGATGATTTCATATCATCATTAAATGAGGCATTAATAAAGGAAATTATCATCGCTCCCCATTTTTCATAAAACTTAAAGCTAGGCAAGAAAATTGAGCTTGTAATCCACGATATTTTTATATCCCCTTAAATATTTATTTCTATAGAAATTTTTATTAATTATCCTTTCTATATTAACCTATCATTTGTTTTTTTATAAATTATGCTAAAAAAACAAGTTGGACAAAATTGAGGCTCATCATCATTCAAAAACTTGCTTCAATAGCTTACACATTTTAACTTTGAAGCAGATCACTCCCAAAACACATTAAAGCTATTGGATTCACCTTAGTGTGCTTAAAGCTAATGCTATTAAAATGAATTTAATGCTTCATTCACAGCCTATAATAATTCAAACCTTATGCTTTATAAAACAAATAAATGATCCACCTCACCCTATTTTATACTAGGTGCGGGCAATTGAAGAAAAAAAAAAAACTATTTCCAAATCATACTAGTTCTTTTTTCAATGTACCTGTGAAGAAAATTTCTAAATTTTCCAAACTGTTATATGGGATTTCTTTAAATAATTCCAAATTATAATTTAATTTGCTAGAATAAGATCTTATATCTTCTTTATGTGTAATTCAAATTTTCCTTTATCTAAAATTTTTGTTATCCTGTTTGCTTGAATGTTAGGATACAAATTAAAACTTTAAATTTGCTCAAATAATATTTATTCAATTCTACAGACATCTACTTGATAACATAAAACTGCAAATAGAATTTCAATATATTTACGTTTCACACTTGCAAGCATATGCCTCACCTGTAGGTAGAGGGTTAAATGCTTTGGTTTCGCAAGGGTGTCAAAGACTTCATTCATGAGTGTACAAGTCCATTTTGAATACCTTTATCCAAAATATTTGAAAATTACTTCAACGGTGCTTGAAATCAGTCATAGAAAAGAGATAAAAGCAGGAAAATAGAACACAACAAGAAGTGAATTTATTCAGCCTTTCAGCCTCTGAGGATACTAGGAGTTTAACAAATCACAAATTACAAAACTTAATCAAAACAGTTACCGTAGGATAACTATAGGAAATTAGGAGAAATAAAACCTATAAAGTTAACTTGAAGCTGGGACACCTAAGACGAAATGAAATTGGATTGAATTCCACAATACTCCTTCTCTAGGCTAGGTTACATAGATTGAATAGTCCCCACTTGTAAACTAATTTTTCAAAAGATGGTTCAAATAAACCAATGGTTAAAAGAATAGCAACTTGTAAAGACAACATGAGAAGCCCTTGAAGAGACCTCTGAGTCAGCATCCCCGAGTCACGGATTAGGCTTGTAAATTTTCCTGGCTCAGGTACTTTGCTTTTCAGACCATGAATCAACCATGGATAGAAGATAACAGCAGAAAAATAGAAAAGAATAAGAAAAGCATTAAATTTATTCAACCCTTCCATCTCACAATACAATGTATTTTATCAAGCAGAAATAATCGCATTTCAGGAAAACAATTATAGCAGGTTAGTAAAGCTAACAGTGAATATTGGATGACAAGAGAGTTGTTACGCATTGAATCTGCAGCATATACTCCAGTAGGAAATGTAATTGGATACAAGAATGCACGCAATCGGAAAAGCCGAGACACACATAATAGAATGATTGCTTGATTGAATGCCACAACAATGATTGTTCTATATAAGTGTCACATATGGTTTAGCACCAGGTTACACAAGTCCCTTTCAACAACTTCCAAATGTTATTCCAATATAATCATTTACAACATATCGTTTTTTGGAAACATTCCATTTTTGCTACGCTTAAGCTATAAAAATCAGAATAATTGGCAGAAGGCTGAAGATGATGACTTTGATTTTGTTAAAGTTTGCATTAGTTTTGCTCATCTTGCCTATTGTCTAGAGTATGAATATACCTAAAAAATCAATAGTCTAATTCTTTATAAAATTTCCACCCGTCTCTAAACTATTTTATCAATTCATAATCCCCAAAAGGCATTTTTAGAGTTTAAGCACCCAACTGTGACATTATAATTCAATTATTCGAACTTCAAGGAAAGTAAATCCTCACTAAAGAGGGATTTTTCTCAGAGGGAGAGAGAGAGAGAGAGAGAAGGAAGGGGGAGTGTTTGAAGGGGGAGTGTTTGGAGAGAGAGAAAGAAATAGATAATGGACAAAGTGAGGAAAACAATAGAAACACACAAAACAAACTTTTATTAATATAGGTATACGGTTACAGCACAGCACAAACTGAAAAAAACCACACAAAACATAAGACGACATGAACAAACATCTCAAAAGTGTATCCCAAGTGGAGGTTGGAAGGATGGATTTGGAAGCTAGGGACAGCAAGGGTGAATGCAACTATGCAAGAGAGGGGTCAGCAATGGTTGGAAGGTGATTGGAAAAAGGAGGCAGCAGGTTAGGGCGGTGGGAAAGTCAATTGGGCAGCTAGGAGGTAGTTGGAAGGTGGGCAGAAAGCTGGGAAGGCTCGCTGACACTTTAGAAAGGTGGACAACAGGCAGGGAAACTCAAACAACAATGGAAAAGATCGTGCGGTTGGTGAGGAAAAACAGCGACCGGAAAAGCCGGCAGCAAGCCGCAACTAGGAGGAGGAGAGGGGAAGGAAAGGGGAAGGTGAAAGAGAAGGATATAATAACACCTTGGAGTATGATACAGCCAGAGCACCACCACCTCTTCGAATACAACCATGGAACAGGGAGAACAACTCTGCAAAGGAATCTGAAAGCAACACACAACGAAAACTAACCCTAAACACTGAAATTAGCAAATAAATAACTCCTATATGAAGGAGAAGAAGAAAAGGAAAGAAGAGAGGGGTGTGCAACAGTCCCGCCTTGTCAAAATCCCGCCCCATCAAAATCTCGCTCGAGGCTGATTGGCTTGGGTTCACCCTAGACCGGTCCTCAAGTGGACCGGTTGGGTTCAGTAGCGGAATTTCCCGCTTCCCGCGTCAGTGTGGGAAGCCCCGCGTCAGCGAGAGAGAGAGAGAGAGAGAGAGAGAGATCCATTAGGCATAAAAAGTACAAGGTCTGTCTAAAGCACACACTTACAGGAAAAGATAATATAACTGGATAGAGATTCTTCTCAGCCCAGTAGGTGATCTGATGAGGTGTGCCCTTTAAGGGAATCTGAGCCATGGAAAAGAAAAAAGTCAAATTCATCATAACTATCAGCCATGTCAAAAAAACATGCTTGTAAGAAGAAACAAAAAACACCTTGCGAACTGGCCAATAGTTATCATAATTGAATGCAGATGGCAACTGGCAAATCTTTAGGAAGCCCTGTAGCAAAAGAGGACCAAAGGTTATATCACAAGCTAATCAAGAAGAAAACCACGAAAGAAGTAACAGACGTTAATTCTTTCAGGAGATCACCTGTAAAGTCACATATATGAACCCATGATTGCAATTAACGTTGTGAAGAACAGTAAACGCAGCTATAGAGCCATCACAAAGCTATCATAAACAAATTTGCAAAGTCAGAATAAGAAGGAAGAAGTGCAACAAATATTAAAGAAATGTTGAAGGAAAAAATATTCGTTTGGTATAGAAATAATATGTTGGCTGACATAAATTCAAAATAGAAACTAGCAAATTAGTAAGGATTTTCAAAGCAATGCCTCGGCTTCAGCTCTTGTAATTGTAGACTTTGATCATTTAGGTTGGGATTATAAATAAAGGCTATTGACGTTTAAATAAAAGCTCATCGATCTATTAAAAAAAAAAATCCCTTAATAAAAATACGCCAACAAACATCCTGCATGCATCGAGTACTTGTTCAAATCCATGTGACTAATGGCAAGTAACAACATTCATACAACTTCTATTATCAATGAATTTATAGAATTGTTCATCATGCTTCAAGTATATTTGAAAGATCAATTTCTTTTTTTCTTTTCTCAGTTAGTTTCAATAAAAAAATATGGCAATGATGCATCACATAACATTTAAAGCGTTCTCAATCAAAGCATTTCAAAATGACAAATCCCTCAATGAGTTATAAATCAACTTTAATTTCACTTTATTACATCAACTTAGTCATAAAGTTGGTGTATATGACTGACACAATTTTTAACAGCATATTTTCTAACTAATCTATCTTTATTGTTTCTCCCTCCTAGCAATGCCATCAATAGGTTCATTATTAGTGCAAGAATTAATACGAATCCTGCAAGTGAAGTTGACTATTTTCAAGGTGCTTAAGTCAATCTTTAACTGATTAGCTTTAGGTTCATTTAGTTTATTTTCTTGCTCATTTGATTGTGTTTTTGTAAAAACGCTCTTTAAATTCATTGCAATGTATCTAAAATCTCATCTCCATGGTGATCTATTAACTAAGCAAAATGTTAAGAAGCACATCTAATCCATTTGACTTGGCTCTAATGCAAATTTGATGTGTATGTCTTAGTCTAGACTTCACTAATGCCAAAAATGGGACATAGAGAATCCTAATTATAGTAGCATATAATAACTTGAATAAATAATGCAACAAAAGGAAAAAAAAACAAAATGCAAGCAGTAAACCTAGTGAACATCTCAAGCCGCAATGTTCTCTAAATAAACTGAAAAATGTAACTAGCAATCCAGCTGAATCTTTTCTTGCAGTATGGCTCGGTAAACAAGCATATGAAAGCAACCAATTCATAAACATTAGGAAGACACATGAAGTGTTGCAACCAAAAGGAAGGAATTGAAGATTAACATCTGGACCATACATGATGTTGGTTGACATAAAACAAAATATGTTTAAACCACTTTATGTTTTATTTTTTTTTTTATGTTTTTATTTTATTTGTTTGTCTCATCATTAAACAGAACAAGACTGATGTCTTAAACATTATTTGATCTTTTAATTACATATTGAATAAGTTGATTTACCTCCTGATGGTCAGAGGTGGCTGCCAACAATGGTAGTCGCCGGTGATGGTGAGGCCTCTAGAGGTGGCAGTCATTGACAACCAGAGGTTGATGGTAGAGGAAGCTAATAGTGAGAGCTAGATACGGAGAAAGCTAGTGGTTGCAGCCCATGGTGGATGACGGGAGTAATTTTTTTTTTTTTAACAATAAACATATAAACAGGTAAATGATAAGAGTACATTACACATTTCCCAAAAAATTCCAAAATAAAAAGAGAAATGCAATAGGACAGAAAGATACAAAGATTTTATTTAGTCTGTCTATTGCTTGAAATCTAGCAAAAATAGGAGCGTACAAAGATTTTAATTAGCCTGTCTAGCTTGAAACCTAGCGAAAATCGGAGCGATGAAAGATTTTTTTTCTAATTAATGTAAAAATTTTTATATAACAGAAAGTAAACACTCTAAACATTATAATAAGAATCAGAAACCTATTTTGATAAATAATCATCATTTTGATTACCAATAAAAAGAGGTTAAAGTGGTTCAAGAACTTCTGGAATATTCTTGATGATAATAATGATTGTTGATGAAGTAATCACCATCAAGCGGCTAACAGGAAGAGGAACATCAGTCGTTATTTCCTCAAGGGAGCCTGGACCCGACCACAACTTTTGAGAGAAAGCCCGAACTAAAGGGATTGAAAAATTAATATAAATGTCATGTGACAGGCCGTGTGACTAAAAGTAAGAATTTCTTAGCTTACGATAAGCCTTAAAAAAATTATAAATTTTAAGCATAAAAACATGGAAATAAGAGGAATATGAAGAAATGTTTTTGAACTTCACATTTTGCCAATATCTAGATAACAAATACCCAATCCATACTTATAAAAGAAAGCAACACCAAAATGACCTATTGCATCTTCTACGTATAAAAATTTTCTTTAAAAAAAAAAACAAAGGAAAACAAAAAAGATGAGTTGAAGCAGTAGATACAAAGCCGACGAAATGAGATCTAAACTAGAGTAAGAAAAGGCTCAACAGAAAAATCAAAATAAGGGGACTATTTTAATGTGCGCATTAAGAGGCTATTAATATAGTATAAATGTTGTGCGAAAAATCAAATGTAATATTTTTTCAAAAAAAATACTTCATGATAATATACCAAAGGTTAATGAACCTAGTGGAATGGTCACATATCAGTTGTGAATTACCACTATGCTAAGATGACCCATAAAAAATTTACCAATAAGTTAGAGAATGAGAGATCCAACAAATACAAAAGCCTCCTCATCAAAAAAGAGAAGAGCGGGCTTGCCTAGAAAAGATGTAAGCTGTTTATGATTTAACAGTCTCTGTATTCTAATAAAAGAAAAAAAAATATTGAGGGGAAAAAGACCACAACATTCAAGCAACAAACAATAACAGTAAAAAACATGGGGATGAGGTTGAGGAGGCTCAGCCACGGAGAGAAAGGAAGAGGACCAGCCTCAATAGCATCATCAGCCAAAGAAAAAGGTAGAGGCGACCTTAATGGGGGTCAACAAAGTCCATGGGAGAAGTTAATGCACAAAGAGTTAGGATCTGAAGAAGCTCTGATGGAATTATAAGTGCAAGATATCCCCTAATAGAGATCAATGGAAGAGACCAACAATATACTCAAATATAGTATCAACGGAAAAGACCAAGCATATACTCAAATATGAGAGAGCAAAAAACCTTGTTTAAGAGAAAGATAAGTGGACAAAAGACGAGGGCTACCAAAGGAGCTAGAGGGACTAACAGCAAGCACAACATCAATGCCAAGGTGTGACATCATCATCAACAACAACCAACAGACTTGAAAGCCTGGGCTGAAAAACTAACGGTAGCAACAGTGTTGCATGGGGTAAAAACTGCACGAGACGGCTTTTTGTCAACTCCGTGCAATGACCAAGCTGCGGCTAGGGTGCAATGTATGAAGAGTCACTGCAAGCAGACATCTTCTGAGCAACTCAAGATGAAAAAGCCCTAGCAAAGGTCAAACCCGCACGATGGTAGCCAGCGTACTCTACAAATCATCAAAAAGCCCTATAAGCTAGAGGGACTAACTTATAGGCAAATGCGATAAAGCTTGAAAAACGCAGCTTCTAGTCGGTGAACGCAGCAAAAGATTAACAAAGCCAACAAAGTTTGCTGTTAAAGGCAACAAAGAGAGAGACTCCGTAAATGATTGTAATATGTGTGAAGTGATAGTACTATAGTAGAGAGTATGAACATCAAGTTTTTAGCTTAGGCCCTCTTTTCAGCATGAGTTCAACAATGAAGTGATGGATTAGCTGATGGTGGCAATTGTTTGTAAAAATATTCAAAACATCTAAAAATTAATTAGTGTATTTACAAAAGGATGAAAGAAACCAATTTATTTTTAAAATTTTAAAATAAAATGGCTCAAATACACCATAAACAAATATGTTTTTTAAAGAATAAAAATAAAACTGCTAAATAGCCCCTAAAATCATAGGGTAAATAAAATAAAGTTGCATTGGCATCTTCTATCTGCTGAAATCAAAATGAATTTTTTCCAACAAATTAGTAATCAATAAAACTACAATTTCAAGAAAATTTGGCACATTTAACGGAGGTGAATGTTGTTTTAGATCACTTCTTTGGGCATGAAATTGCTATTCCAATTGAGTGCATAACAAAGCAACACTATTGACGTGGAGCGCATTGAGTGCAAATCGGGAGCGGAGCGACTGCTTACCTTATTACCTGGACCGAACCGGTCCAGGGTTTTTCCCATCCGTGAGAGTCAGTCGGCCCTTACTTTTGGCTTTGCTGCCTCTTTGCAACAATGAGGCCACTCCTCAGTTACCCAATGACTATAAGTATGTTGTTCTTTTCGAACAAATTAGTGATCCATAAAACTACAATTTCAAGAAAATTTGGCATATTTAACGGAGGAGAATGTTGTTTTAGGTCAATTCTTTGGGCATGAAATTGTTATTCCAATTGATTGCATAACAAAGCAATATTATTGAAGTGGGGGGTCTTGCGTGCAACTCGGGAGCGGAGCGATCGCTCTGCCTGTTACCTGGATTGGACTGGTCCAAGGATTTTCCCATCTATGAGAGTCAGTCAACCCTTCCTTTTGGCTTTGCTGCCTCTTTTGCAATAGTGGGGCCACTCCTTAGTAATCCTAGGGCTACGAGTATGGTGTTTTTGACTTTAGGTTAGTTTTTTATGGTGTTTCTATCACGACAGCTGTCGGCGTCTCATATTTTCTCATCTAAGGTTGTATTCATGAGGGCAGGTTGTGCTTCGGTTGTATCTCCTTCCGCGGTAGTCGTTACCCTCTAAGGGTCGAGTGATCCTTCGAATTTAGCTCACACCCGAGGGGGAATTTATCTCTGACTTCCCTTCCCTCGCATCATTCCCTTCATCGTTGTTGTCATCACATTCGTTGCAGCCACCCAAAAAACAGCCACTTTGTTGTTTTCCTACAGTCGTCTACCACCCAGCTACATCCCAACATGCTGCCATCCTTTCCAACCGCCTTCCTCGAAGTCGAGTGATATCAAATTTAACCCAAACAACATGTAATAACCAATAGAAA